CTTATTCCCCTTGTGTTTGCGCCGCAGTGGCTGACGAGCAAGGATTTTATGCGAACGCTTGACAGGATAGAATTTTACTGCTTCCGAAATGTCGTGTCTCGTAAAAGCCGCTGCGTTCACGACCGTTTCTTCATTCGACTCTTTCCGCTGGAACTTATTGCAATTTCGCGTTTACTATTTTTATAGGCGACGGAAGAATTGTTGCAGAGTCTTCGGTTATTATATTTATTGAAATAATGTCGCGTTTGTGGAACGAGGATGATATTGACAGATCGAAGATCTATAGCTGTCTCTATACTATTTGATATATATTTTAATAATCAAATGTTTTTGTTTTCGCGTAAAAATAGTTATTCGTTTCAGTTTTAGATATTCTGAACTATGAATGTTATATATTTTAGTTTTAAATTAATGAATTAAAGATACTTATTTGATGTTAGATTGCGCTATTTGGTATATATGTTCATATGTATAATAAATAGTGCGTCTCTTTTCGACGAAACGAACCCTCGATCGTATGACGGCGACGCTTGGTTTCGATTACGCGCAGTGACACAACGGTATCATTGCTACAAAGCTCGTTCTCGTATCAACCCTTGTCGCAACGTCGCGTTCAATGCTATACTGGACCGCGATCCACATACGAGGGAGGCACGTTTGACTGTGTAATACGAGCTCCTCGTCCATGACAAGCTCGAAATATGCAGATTCTCTCGACTAACGAGTTAAAAAACCGTCGTTACTGCTGTAGCTGCTGCCGTTGAATACCTTTGTCGTCAATGTAACGGTTTATTACTAGAAGCGTGCCTAAAACGCAATACGTCTTGTAAATATTTTTGAATCACTTAAATAAGGTAGAAAAAACATTAGATTAAATGTTACTAATTATTCCCCTTTTTTTTTTTTTTTTTTTTTTTTACTTCATTCTTATGCTTTATATTTTCCGTTGACTCATGTAACTTGGAAGTAGTTTAAGTTGAAATTGTTCGAGCGCGAGAATAGCAGGATTTACGACAGCCCGGAGGTCTTACGATCCTTTTATATGAGTCGGACGCACGATTTACATTCGATAGCAACAAGAAGCAATAATGACTTTGGGGATTAAAGTTTGCTGGTAGCACGATTCACCACATAGAATCGAACTTTCAGATTTTTCGGGTTAACTTTCATGCTGATCCCATGATATTGGAAACAGTTTTACGAGCGGCATCTTTCATAGTTAGTTTTTTACAACATATATTTCGATCTTAAGAAATTTTTCATAGCACGAGTTGAGAAATACGATATTTTATGAGGATCTAACAAAGTCGGCGGCACTATCTATCTTGGTTAGGGACGAAACTGATACCAATTCAATAAGCTCTTGTGTAATCGAAGAATTCATTGTTAGAAGACTTACATAATTATTTTATTAGCTAAACAGATCGGAGCTAATAATACTTTTTATATCTAACGCTAATTACGATGTGTTGATAAGATAAGTATAACAGGTGACATAGATGCAATTATAAGAGTTTAATTTAAATAGCAGTTGTTTGACATAATATTTTATTTTATTTTTTTTTTGTAGAAGGTAGGAAAAAAGTAAATATTGAATGCATTTTCTTTATTTATTTATGATAACATATCTTTATAATGCCGATATAGTACTGTGATAAGATTATATTTTATGTTTTACTTTTATTGCGTTTAATAATATTTTTATTGTATTATCTTAAGACTTAAGATAATATTTTTTAGAAATGCACGCTTTACCTTGGACTTTAAAAGTAATGTATTTATTTATCTTACTAATTTTCTCTAAGAATATCGCAATGAATGATAACAACCTATACTGGTTTCAAGTTTTTGATGTAGAACGTGCACTTTTCTTAAGGTGCTTTCTGACGACAAGACTAATATACAATATTAACAAATATTAACACACATACATGACATACATAAATATCCGTATAATGTAAACTAATATTAAGCGAATATGCGTAAAGTTGGTCATACGTTGATCGTGTCTGAATGTAGAACACCTCCTTTACGTAGAACAAATATATATTTATATATTTTGTGAATAATTTTATGTGATAATTTTCTATTTAATTAAGCCGTAATTAGACACTGGTTTATTATATTATCTCTGAATATTAGTATATTCTCTTAAAGCTATATTTTCTTTAATTCTATATATATTGAAAGCAAGTTGTTCATTGCAAGTTATTCGTTCGCGCTTGTGTGTGTGTTTGTTAGATTTGACTTTAAATGTACCATTTAACTTCTGAACAATAGGATCTAAAACGAAATGAAAAGAATAGCAAAAGAGACTAACAAAAAAGTTAAGGCCAGTACCAAAGATACTTTAAATGTAACTATACGATTACAATATGAAATTATCTCTGTTGGCTAATGTTTTACGAATGGATCATGTTTCTTTGTAAGAGTCAATATATAATCAAAGAGTCGGGCAGTCATTCATAATAGTTATCATCGTCGCGCAATATAAGAACTCTTTCTTCACTTTAGAGAGACACATCCAAATATCATCAATCTCATTTCAGTTCTGCATTTAACTATATACATCTCGGTTTCTCTTCTACGAAAGCATTCGGTTAGATAAGAAACGAATATAAACGTATCGTGACGAAATATGCACAACAGCTTGTCGTGTCGTTCACGGGACCAAATGATATCGTTTGTAACGCTCCTCACATTACGTAATCGAACCTGCCGATAATATGAGCATAGATTACTGAGAATCGCAACAGAGTGACTTTGAATCTGTGATAATGTTTCCCTTTCGGTTGATATATGAGAATTACAAAGTAGAGAATTACTGAATGCATATCATTTAAGATATTTTTTATAAATTTTTTATTTGTGTACTAATTTGTAAAAGGACTCGATACCAAATTTATTTCTAAATGAATATTGAAAATTGTAGCTTGATGTTTCAGGCATCTATTATTATATGTTTAAATTTTTACCAATGACAAATTAATTTGTTACGAATCCTTTTGTAAAATACTGCAAAAGGTATGATTTAGGCAACCAGTCACTTAAATTGTACCTGTGAGAATCGTATTTCCTTTAAAAGTATTAAATTTATAAATAAAAATATGTAGGAGTTTATTGAATTAATAATTAATATTTATATAATTAATATATTATTACTCCTATAAATGGGGAAGTCTCAATGATGTGAAGATAAATTTATATATGTAACGTAAGCTGGCTAATATTTTAATATAATTTTCTTTGTGATTCGAAGATTGAAGTAGAATTTCAATACTCACTATTCTATTTTTTTTTACACGTATACTATATTATATGTATTTTATACGTAAACTAAATTTAACTTAACCGTCAAACGGCACACATGAGTCATTTGTGTCCGATTCAATTTTAAGGCTTTTAAAGTACTTGAAAAATTCTAAAAATACACAAATGTTCTTTAAGGTCTCTACTAATTTTTACTAAATTATTCTGCTATATATACATCGGAAAAAAGTTTAGAAAAATTATGAAAATTATTTTTTGTACCTGAAAATAAGAACTATTAAAAATGGCGTGGATACGAATAACATACGTATTCTTCTTTATACACGTATTATAGTGCATCTCATGCAAAATGGCGTCGCATGGTGAAAGTTCGTGGTAAGCAGTAAATGGTTAGAGAACGGAAATAAGAGAATTTCCGGGTAACAATTTCCTCTTTGCTTCGTTCTCTTACGATGCAAGGCGAATAAAAAACGAAAGAACTTTAATTCTTCAGTCGCCATGTGACGTGGTCACAAAGTATTATATTAATAGGAATATGACGGCAGGTACTATGTATAAGAAAGTATATTATTTTATGAAATTTGTATTCAGAAATTGTATATCTTTTACGCTTACAAAAAAAATTGTATTATTTTATAATGTTCGCATAACGTTTTATTTCGCTATACGTAAAGCAGAAAAATCTTGCAAAAGAAACATTACGATAAATGTAATCTATCCGGCATATAGTTAATATAATAATATAGTAACATAATAATACAGTTGATATACTATATAATAATTTTGCATAGAGCATTAGTCTGCCAAGATGATGATGTCTCTCTCTCTCTCATAATCAGTTCTAGTCAAAAGTTTGGATTTTTTGTTTTATAGATACAGTACTATATGTATAGCTCATAAGTACCTAACAAAATTTTGACGAGAACTGTATAAAACATTTACTATGCATATATAAGAGTATAACAACAGATTGTCGCCTAAAGAAAATGTCTATTGGAGTAAACTTTGATACATAGGAATATACATACATGGTATAAACCAATGTTCTTTTAAACAGTATTATAGTTCAGTGGGCCAACGCACCTGCGCGCGAACTTTAAAAGGCACGCTGCACCCCTTCTCCATATCAACGGGCTCCTTTTCCCCGGAGCCCTTCCTTGTCTCGGCTCCTCCCCCATCGCTCTCTATTCTTCCTCTCTCGCTCTCATCGTGTGCACACGCGCGCACAGCAGAATGTGGTTGGCCAGGTACACCTGGGCGCGTAAAAGGAGGGAACCAACACCAAGCGTTCCAGTGGCACGGCACTTGCATCGCGCCGTTGTCTATTCTGCTGGGTCGTACGTATCGGGTTTTCAGCGGTAGAGGGAGAAAAAGGGAGCTATCGACATTAGCTGGGAGTAGGACAGTATTGGTATTCAAGAGTAGACGAGTGTCGAGGGCATGAAAAAGGGGCCATTTCCTTATTTTAAAAACGATTCGGGAGTCTTTAGTAGGCGGAGTCACAACTACCAGATGCGCCACCATTGGTTGGCACAATGTCTAATATATCATATCGTAACTATCGGAGAACTGGTGTTCCACGATTCTATTGGCTTTAAGACTCCATTTATCTTTATATCCATTATTAACCCTCCCTACAGATTCATTTAGATAAAAATGCATGCATTTATTCAATACGTGCTGCTCACATAATATATTTCTCTCACGTTTGAATTTTTGTTGTGTTTCAGACGGTCTATCGAGTTTACTGAAATATACATTGCAGGAGATGTACAAATCTTTCTCTGTGTGGCATAGTCCCGCCAAGATAGAGCGAATCTTGCGCATTCTCGTCACCTATGCTCATGAAATAGATTCGAGGATCAAATTTAATGGTTTTTTGGAATCTACTAAATACTTGATTTTTCAAGGTAAGACATTTTTCAATATTTTTTTATTAAGGTAAAAAAATAAAATACTTTTAAAGAAAATATTATGAAACCCATATTAATTTTTTATTTTCATTTTTAAATTAATGACTTAGAAATATATTAATCGCGATCTAAATATTTAAAAAATGTGTTTTATTATATAGGAATGAATGATAAATATTATAATTTATAATAATGTTAAGTAAAATATTTAAAATTAAAGGGGAAGATTTTTTTTATCTATTATTTATATAATAAAAAGAAATAAGTATTATATAAATCTATTATTATAAAATATTAATTCGAATTTTTCTTTCTCAGCCACAATTCGTCATTCGAAAATTATTCGCCAGAATTTCGCGCAGAATATAATTTTGCTATCTATAATTATATATTTAATATATTCATTTTTATTTAAATATTATTTATTTCCACCTTGAGAATTATATATAATTACTAAATTTTTGAAACTTAACACGTTCCGTTAATCATTGTCAAAATTCGTAATTAGATTTGATTACTTCTTGACAATGCTTTTGAATTCCATGGAGTAATGAGAATTGATTACGCTTAAACTAAAGTGTAAATTGTATGCAAATTTATGCATTCAAAAATTGATACAAACTTAATTGGAATCAGCAACAAGAAGATATCTTAAACATTTGCGGACATATCAGATATAAATCATTGAAAATGGCGTGTAAATACTAAAAGTCTAAGTACTTTAGAAATTATAATTTTACTGAAAATTGAAAGCTTTATTATTGTTATATTCAAAAGACTGCAACAATTTTTTTAAATCAAGAAATTGTGTTTTATAATATCTAATGTTACATATATTGTTGAACTGTATATTTAATGTAAAACAGAAATATTTGCAGAAGGAATTACAGTAAATAATTTATTCTTCGTTTTTAAATTACTTAAATTTTGGTTATGAATTGCACGTGTTTATTTCCTTCTCTCAAGAGCCTTAGCAACTTTAATATGAACTCCGCGTGTACCTGACATCCATAAGAAAATACGTTCTCGGAAGTTATTTTAGAACATATTTTGATGCAAGCTGATGCATGATAAATATTAATAAAATACTCAATAATTATTGCAAATATCTTTATTGCAACATGCGAAGACAACTTTGAAAAAGATATAAAAAAGATCGATGAAAAATCTTGGTTTTTTCATCTTAGAAGAAACATTTACCGTCTCATCATTGAAGAAAATACCTATCATGAAAATCATGCAAACATGTGAGAACCTGTTTGATATCGTGGTACATTTAAAATGCAATTCGCAAGTTCTTACTTGCATACCCGACATTTTTAATTCCACTGTCGTCGAAACTTTCACTTCGTCGAAACGCTTTACGGAAAAGCTTGTCTGCAATGCCAAAGCGAATAATACATGAATAATATTATTGATGATTCTCTACACCTGAAGATCTTTTTCTTGCATCGAAAGTCCTGTTTGGAACAGTGATATTGCTAGAAAATAATTGATGATTTTATATAACTTTACTGAGAAAAATAGTTTGGTTGAAAATCGATAAACCAGAATCTTCTGATTTGTTAATTTTCAACCAAATTTTTCCCAGTGTTCATAATCAAAATAAGAAATACCATTGCTTACACAAGTAAGGATTATGTGCAGATATAAATAATAAATAAATGAACCAATTTACTTTCTCCATTATTTACTTTATTGATAAAGCGTTTTGCTAAAGGATTATCGGCAAATTAAAAATATTTAGTTTGTGGCACCTAAGTGAGGAGTTGCCAATAATACATTTTACACATACATTCGACTATATTAGAAGTTGCCTGATGTACAAAACTAACACATTACTGTTGCTACTTAAAATACCCTGCAGTAAATATGCGAACTGTCGTGCCAAGCAGGAATTGTTACTGGATATTTTTGCAGTTATAATGTACGTAGTCGTCATTACATATTCGTCTCAACTCTCCAACGACTGCTAAATTTTACTATTGGATAACAGCCAACGTAAACGAAAACGAACACTACGTCTGATTTCAGTACATTCAAGGTCGATATGTCATTTCCGCTTCTTTAAAAAAAATTAAAATTAAAATGATATATTACGCGTAAAAATGATATCTATAATAAATAGTTGACTGAAGGACATTAAAAACGAGAAGATTAATCAGTATTCATTAAACCACACACACATACACACACACACACACACACACACACACACACTAATATCTGATAAGACTTTTTAAGAGACTCAAGCTTGCAATGTAAAAAGACACAATTAATTGGACTATTAAAGTATGCGCTGCAGATCCTGTTTTATTCCGAAGAGAGTAAGAAGCGATCCAAGGCGTCAAAGAAAGGTACGATGCTTTTTGCTAACTATGACCGTGGATAATCAATACTCGGACAAACCTTCCTTCCTCCATCGTAAATTGCCTCGGTTCTGGATCACTAATCATTCGCCCAGAACCGTTGCGAGATATTTAACGATCGACGTACGATTTGCGGCAGTGTTAAATTTATAACATCATTATTGCACCGTGTCGCATTTAACAGCAAAATTGTTGACGATTAGTACCATTGCAGATCTTGCAATCAAGTACGTGATGCGCCATTTAATAAGCTCATGATACAATCTCGTATAAATATCACTATGTATGACACATTTTTGCGCGAGGCTAAAGCCATTAGTTTCAATTAGTCATAATTATATCTTTTTAGTTGAGTAAATTTGCGTGTGTTACAAATAGAATCAAAAAAATTAATTTTATTTAATATTGTCTAAAAATTAAAGTTTGAATGTGTGTTTTTCATTGCATTTTTGATGTCTCAAAATCAAGTTATTTCTCAATCACGGTTTTTTTAATACGAATTTGGATTGTTCTGTTTATAAAGAAGATTTGAAATTGTTATCTGTAGCTTCAATAATTTTGTATGATTTTTAATTTTTTAATTTTAATAATTTAAGTTTTTATACCATACCAGATATATTTTCGATTAAAGTTATGTATTTAGTTAAATTCTTGAAACGCTTAAGTAGGCAAAAGAAAAAAAAGGAACATATGTAATGTGTTAGCAGTCAACTGACTGATATTTGCTCTAATCTGGCTATTATAAATTGCTTAAGCCGCTTAGTTTATTTAAAAAAATAGAGTACATAATTCAAAATAGATTATGATCTTAAATTATACAATCTAGAATCATATATAATATAATACTTGTTGCAAATGAGATTCATAATTGAATATGATTTTAAATATGAATTTTATTATATAATATATAGGATGCTTGTTATATTCTTATTATTTTTGTAATATTTATATATTTTTTTGTCATGTTTTGAATAATAATAGTTGTATCTATATAGTAGTATCATATTAGTACTACTTTTATTGATTATTGTTATCATATCTATAATTTGTAATCAAATCATCTAATTCATTTTTTATAGACTCTAATTAGTCATTAATAAATATTTTGTTGTCATTATATTGTTAATCCTGATCGCTATCGTTTTGGAATAAACATCACAAAGAATCAATACAATCTTAATCTTGTTTGCTCGATTGAATAACTACAACACATTTAAGATGCGAAAAACGACATTCCAACGACAGTATGGTATGAACAAGAAGACGATTAACGGCTTCATATTTTACTGAGCACATGGTTACACATTATTACTAACAAACACATGAAATCATAAAAGAATGCAAAGCTAATGTGAGCCAAACATATAAAATATGAATTTATACAAATAGTGTGTGACAAAATTAACGTATAGAAATAATAATATTATATATTAACAGAATATATATAAAGTGGTCGAATCGTCAGTTGAAACATGAAAAAACTATCGCGTGGGCTTATAATGATCAAGATATATATTTTAATTTAACTTGTAATGTATAATCTGAAACATCTCAAATGTAATTTAATTATACGGAAAATACATTTAACAAACGAGGGTATCTTAATTGATGCGATCGTACTGTCTTTCTGGAAAAAGATATATGTCTTTTGTTAACTAATTTGGTGTATAACCAGCATGCGTGTCTGATAAGTCTAAATGCATTGGAACTTACTTGAATAGCGGATGTCTACACCTCTGCGCACGTGTCAGAGATTAATGAGGTTCTTCGTGGAGAAGTAAGAATGCTTTGCTATAAGAACAATAATTGCAGCAGAGGTAGCGGTTTAGTGTAAATAATGAATCAGCAATACTAATGTGCGTATGGTGCACGTTAACTGCCACATATCGATATAGCTGCTACAGTTAGCACAAATGTAAAAATAAGCACATAACAACGATGCCACTTAATTGAATTATTGCATTTGAGATAATTTTTTATGTTGCATTAAAGAGAACTATTATATTAATATAAACTTAATTTCTTTTTACAATTAAATTAAAAATAAAATACTTGATTGATTATTTGCGAGAAATAATTAGGATTTTAAAAAATTATAACGTTGTTTTAACGTATAAAATATACATCGGTTCAATGTTAAAGGCACGATATTCAATGCTCTCAAGTTCAAGTCGTGATTAATAACTCGTTAACCGCGACCGACAGTTTTACGCAGTTACAGTATAACATGAATTATTGTGATTTGATGATAATCGCATGCCGACATGTGATGATATCGAGAAAAAAGATGAACTCACTGTATTGCGTAATAAAAATGCATTTGGTTGTTCCTTAGTTATCGGTTTATCACTGATTTGTTTGCTGTATGAATTCTAGTGAAGTTAATCGGATAGTTTGATTAATGCAATTACATAAGTGTTAATTATTTTAATACAATTACATAATTATTAATTATATAAACATAATAAATAATTTAAAGTTTGTACAGAATAAATATCGGTTAGTTTCTGCAATTGTGATTACGCTGCATAAAAAATGATAACGCGATCGTGATACCGCTATTAAGAAAGTATGTGCGTATACACTTCCTATTAACCGCACTTGTTCTTGCATGCGGGCGAGTAGTGA